ACACATAACACTGCAGAGAGTGCTAGGAGCCACTCACTGTTGGCCCATCGTGGATGATTGGTCAGTGCATCCTTTGCAATCTTGAAGAAGCCAGAGGCCTTGTTCCTCTGCACCACCTGTGTTTCTTCTGGAAGGAGTTCCAAGGAATCTGCGAAAGCATCAAACGCAGGATCAAACGCAATGCCGTTTCGTTCCTTGGATGTGTTGCAAGTCATTGTCATGAGATAGTAACTGCCAATGATGTTGTTGCGCTTGGAAGCCAGGAATGCCAACATATCAAAACTGCTCTACAACTCAGTCAAAGTGTGGACTGACGAACACGCAAGTGGTAGCAATGCATCAGTGTCAATCAGAGTACGAGCTCTGCCTTCAAGTAGAGTGGCTGTAGGCCGGACGCAATCTTGTGCTGCTTGCTCTTGGTGTCATTGACGTTGATGACTGTCTGTGTTAGGCGTAGAATCAGTAGATAACACAAGTAGGTTACCCTTGCCGCTTACCCAACTGTCCACCATCTTTTAAGACCTGGGGCCGGTAAGAAGGAGTAGTCTCTTGAGGTCCTTGTTGCCCAATCCAGAGAAATCCCGGAAGGTCTTGACGCGTTCCCACTTCGTGGCAAAGACTTGATCAGACACATGTATCGCCAACATAGGGAGTGGTACGATAGGCTTCCATAAATCTGACCGCCTCTTCACATGTGTCCGCCACACTTCCTTCTCCATGCTTTTCTGTAGATCGTAAACACAGTGGATCATTTGCATAGCATTCTTCTTGTCCAATCCACCCTCGCCGAGTACTTCGACAATGGGATTCCTGACGACCAACTGAAGGTTGTGCAAGCAACAGTTAGCGACAAGATGGTTCGAGCGACACAGGTTCAGATCATCCATAGACCGGAACAATCCATCGAGAACACCACCTCCACCATTGTCAGTGCAGTGTCCTTGGAACTTAAATCCATCATCGCCAAGTTCTTCAAAGAACAAGCAATGGCCTTTGCACAAGAATCTGATGTTCCTTCTGCTGCATCAATATCAAATAGTTGACGGCGAACTTCCTTGTACCAGTTCAAACCAGGACACCACCTTGACAAAGTGTCCGACACCCTTCTTGTTGCCTTTGTCACAGGCAAGAAAGACAGTCTTGCCACGAAGAACATTGCAAAGTCCAAGAAGAGTGCGACCGGCATGCTGGAACATGATTTTCGAAACCAGGTCTCAGAAGGGAAAGACGTACTGAACTTGTTCAAGTCAAAACCTTCCATGTTACCGGTGTCCCAAAGAAAAGCCGCGAAATAAGTGGGGCAATGACTGAAATCTGGCTGAGTGGAAGGAAGGGCAACTCGCCAACATAAGGCTAGGACCGACTGCATGAAAACAGAACAACCGGTAAACTTGTAGTGAACAAAGCCGTTCTGCAGGTCCTTGATCTTCTTCATTGTTGCGAAGCCGTTCCCACTTGTTCCGGAGAACAACAATGTGTGTCTTGGGAACACCGGCAAAGTAAAGGCCTGACCCTGGTATTGATGGAATGGTCGTCCACTGTGATGTCAGACTTCGGCTTTCTTGACCTTTCGCCCATCTTGTTCTTCGTAACAAACACTTGCCGTCATCGTGAAGCTGTCAACTCGCTGCCAGCCGTCACAATATCCGCACCATCGGTTCAACAGGAGTGTCTCAAGAGAACGCTTGGTGGTACATGCAACGGAGATGGGTCTTCATTGACAAGGTAGCGGCTGACATTGCCATGGTTGGTGTTGACATATTCTTGGACAAGAACAGCTGCGGCGGTACCACAAACCTTCCAATTTGGCGGCACTGGTATGCATGGCTCTTTTGGGTGGAAGCGCGCTTGGTACCAAGAGGATCGGTTTCACCAGATGGGGTGGCAAGGTAGTTGTTGCACCAGAACAGGTGTGCCTGGCGGGCAAGGGGAAGTCAGTGCAATACTGCATGAAGCGAAGGCCTTGTAGCGACCATCATGAAATGCGGCAACAAAGGGAGGCGGTCTTCATCATCTTGTTCGCCACTGCTGGAACTCGAGTACTCCTCATGGAGCGGTTGGATGCCATCTTGATCAAAACAAAACAAAGAAAGAGGTTAGATGAAATCAAAAGAAAGCAATGACAATCAAAACAGAGGACGGAGAAAACACCAAGCTTCGGCTTACCTTTTTGGGTTTTCGAAAGCAGGAATAATGAGGATTGGAGTGGCATTGCTGTTGGTCGGAGGTGGTTGGATGGAGTTGTTGACAACAAGAGCCAACAGTTTGGTTTCTCTTAGGCCCTGTCCCAACAGCTCCAGAAGATTGCCGAATTCGGTAATTGGGGCCTCATTGGAGATGACCATGCAAGAATGACTCCCAGAAAGGCCATTTGCACAAAACTGAATTTGGCTTTGGGCAAATGCCAACGGCCTTGGTTTGCGCAAGGCCGAATTTGGTTTTCAGTTCCCTGGACCATTTTGATTGGTGCTCCAGACCACAACCTGAGTCATGCTGGGGATCATTCTCGAAGAAGATCCCCAAGCTGGTGGCAAATCTGACCAGCGCACAAAATTGAAAAGAAGAAAGCAATGACAATGACATGTTGAGGTTGATCAGATATTGCCATCGTTGTAGATAATGGCACGTACAAAGAGTGCTACTTACCCCTATCGGTTTGGTCTGAAGCCAATGCGCCTTGTCCGGCTCTTTGGTAGGTTGTCGACGCCGCTGGATTGAATCAGTTCTCATTGTTTCAGTTTGAAGAGGAAAGAAAAGAACCAAAATGTCGTTTGCTGTTGAAGATACTGCCCCTCACCGGAGTTTTGTTGACATTCCCTATGCTGAGTTAGGAGCAGTGCATCCAGATGCCAGTGTCGTTGGTCCTACGGAAAGGTATTACAAGTGCAGTGGTGAAAAGGCTGCAGAACTCATGGGTATGGGAATTGGTCTGAAGACAGGAGACTTACGCGAGGTTGGCAATGTTGACATTGAGCCATATTGTTCCATGAAGCTCAAGAAGAAGGTAACACCCACACAGAGGCACATGGTCGAGGAAATCAGACGCCGCTGTATCCTGGAGGGCGAAGAGGAGCCTAAGTGCAAGTGCTGGGAGAAGAAGAAGTGCATTCAATGGTTGCAGCAGCATCCCATTACGGATACTCAAGACATTGCCTTTGTCATCAAAGAAGAGAAGAAACTCTTTGATCTGGTCACCAAGGCTCTTCTTGAGAAGCCCACGGACAAGAAGGAGAAGAGTGCTCCCTGGATTCATGCGGAACCATACATTCGTCTTATTGAGTGTATGGTGCATGACTCCATTCGCGACAAGTTCTTGGACATGCAGAAGATCGGCGACAGAGATGAGCTTGACGCGAGGAACTCAGAGAACCGTCCGGAGAACATCTTTGAGGCCTGTGCTCGGCTGTTCAATGATGCTGACCACGATGTTTATTCACGCTGCTTACCTGAGTTGCATTTCACTTTCGCTGACATCTTAGATTGTTCTTTCGAAAACATGCCAGGAAGGATAACACCTGATGAAGTGAAACGCCGTTGGGGTGACTGTCGCGCTAAGTTGATCAAGATCATCTCGAAATGGGAACTCAGTGGTAATGGGTTTGGTCAGCGTGCTGAAGGAGATGATGACTTTGGTCATTTGGCAGAGACGCAGTTAGAGTGTGGTGATAATAGAGCCAACTTCCTTGACTCGCAAACAAAGGAACACATCCTTTACCTTTGGCATGTCGCTGATGAAGCGGAGATCCTGAAGAACGTCATGTGTGTCATTCATGATTCTTGCGCAGCAACATCTGAAACCTGTTCCTCTGTTTCGGCTTCGGTGAATGCTGTTGCCCGTCAGAAGAGAACCGATGAAAGGGCTTTGGGTTTCTTCCGTGCAAAGATGGGACTTGCCATGCATACGATGTCTCGTGCGGCCATCTTCAAGGAACTCCGTGAGTCTCAAGAGAAACTATTCGAGGCTCAGCTCAGAGTCATGGAAGTAACCAGCGAAGAACTCAGCGAGTTGTGGATGGGTAGAGTCCGCTATCTGAAGGCCAATGAGAAGGCAGTTCAGGAATGCTTGGACAGTTTGGATTTTGAAGAATCGCAGAAACCAGCTGCCAAAAAGAGGAAGACAAAGAAGGGATCTCGAATTGTTGTGGTTCCCGCTGAGCTCCTGGACAGCGATGACAGTGAGGTTGAAGATGATGATGATGAGGATGGTGATGTTGCCGGATCGAAAGCGCCATCCGTGGGCTACTAGGCCGTCATTGTGTTGGTTGAAAGGTGGTGTTGGAACAAGTGTCTTGTGTTGAAGTGGTAAATCGCTTCTTGTTGTGGTGCGCAGAGTGGCTTGCTGCTTGAGGAAAACCGATAGCAGCGCGTGTCACCTCTGCTGTGAGTCGATACTCAACACACCAAATTGCTAGTGATTAATTGAGATAGTTTGAAACGTTTTGGAAACCTACTGGACTTAAGCTTTGTATCCGTGGAATTAGATGTCTCCCTCCAACATGGCGTCAAACATCGCCAATCAATCCACAGCGATTTCCCCTCTCTCAAATTTGGCGAGTCGTTGGGGAGGGTTCCCGAGAAAGCCCGTTCAATGTATTCTACAAGCAATATAGATTTTTTATCATGTGGTACCTTATCTTTTATCTTTATTCATTAAGCTTTGTATGAGCGTGCAGGAGTCTTTCCCACCCAGTGCCGGGGAGTCGTGCGGCGCAATCCAAGGCGTTGGATAGTGTCAAGCATCCTTTCGCGAGGCAAAGTTTCTTCATTCCTCCGACTGTGCCGACTCCAATATGAGATGTCATCGAAGTGCTCTCCACCATGAAGCAACCCTTCCGGCCTGAACTCTTCTCCACCACCGGCACCTTCCTGCCACATGCCTCCCTCGCCAATCACAATGTTGAACTCATCACTCGCAAGACGGTCAGCCATGTCGGACATGTACTCTTCCTGGGGTGAGCCCACTTGCGAAATTGGTGTCTCTTGCTGTCTCGCCAATCGCTCATTGATGCAAAAATTGTGCAGCCGGCAGAGGCAACGAACAACAGCGGTGACTTTGGCGATGTTAACAGACGTGGGAAATGGGCGCATGAGAATTCCCCAACGCCTGGTCAGCATGCCGAATGCGCACTCAATTGTGATGCGAACATTGGAATGGAAGTAGTTGTATGCATCCTTGGTTCCAGCACCAACTGCTTTGTATGGAGTCGCCATGGTTGGTGTGTTGACATATGCATTATCTCCAAAAATGCAGATCCCCTGCTTCATGAAACCTTTGCGTTCTAGCTTGTGGTAGAGAGGCGATGATGTCCAAGCAAGATAGTCTGAAGTGGATCCAGGATGGGAAACGTAGATGTCGAGGAACCTTCGGTGAGCATCACAAGTTGCCTGCATGTTCAACCCAAACTTCTTCTTTCTGCCGCAGAAAAATTTCTTGGGACCACATTGTGCACTCTCACAGCTTTCTTCACTCGGCCTTTCTGTCCAGACCAAGATGCCATCTGCTGCTCCGCCGCAGCAACTGAAGACTCCGCGACTGAGCTCTTTGAAGTCGTCAGCAATCTTCTGTTGTTCATTGTGGTCAGAAGGGTAGGAAAAGTCCAACTTTGGACACTTGTTGACAGCATCCACGACTTTCCAGACGGAGCGATAAACGTCAGTGTGCCCCATTCCATGGACCACAGCAATGTCATATGCAGCTCCACCAGCAAAGTAGCGAAGGGCGGCGCTGACTCTGCTTGGCAAAGGAATCAACCCATTCTTTGCTCCCGACTTCTGTGCCGCCTTCCTTTTGGACTTTCCACCTTTCATGTAAGGCTGCAAAATTCTCACCAGTCGCCAGAAGGAAGCAGGTTCCATCCGGTAAGCTCGCCTGACATAATGAGGACCAAGCTCGTTGAAAATGTCATTGACAAACTTCCTCTTCCTGTAACGGTGAGGCTTGCCTCCTCCACGGCCGTCATTCTTGTCCCCAAGCAGTTCTGGATCTGCGGCAACCAACAAACAGAAGGCAGCGGTAGCAAAGTTCTGGACATCTTCAAGATGGTGCGTCCTGGTGCCGCAGGAAAAAGGTAAGAAGAGGAGAGCACAAACGAAAAGGAAACAACAAAGAAACATGGTCTCTAATAAAGTGGGTTCTTTTCTTTATCCAAGGATCCACCATGACAACAACAATCAACCTGTTCCCAGCAAACTTGGTTCTGCATTGGATTTCGTTGGAGATCCATTGGCATTTGGCTGCCTGGTGGGAGTCCGATTGGCTGATTTCCTCAGACTGGTTGGCGATGGAAATTGGATTCCCAATTTGGGGCCTCATGGAAATGGCCTCCCAAAGACCGAATCCGGGAATCGGTGGGGGGCTGTTGGGACAGGACCTTAGGACTGCATGTTAACGGTTGGTTCGTATTGGTTTTACGTCTCTTTAGAAAAATCGCACACCCTCTCTACTGTATCACATGCTATAAGAATGGGATTCACGAATTGAAATTTCCAAAGACGGGCAATCTGGGATTGATTTGACCGTTGTCACATGATTTCTGGGTTCCGATTTCACGAATTTTTCGAATAATCGCCTTCCGAATGCTTCCGAATAGAGACAAATAAACCGTCTACAAATACCTTGGGCGAAAATCACAAACACTCCTCAGCGTGGAACCCTCTTGGATAATAGATCTAAACATATAAGACTAGGCTACCTTGGTACTCCTTAAACGCTCAGGGGTGTTCGGGTGAATTTAGCGACTGGCCTTTGGCTAACTGATTATCGAGCGTTGAAGCACGTGGAGAGCAAGCCGTGCCAGATCGATAAATGTGTGAGATCTGGGGGTCATAGAATCGAATCGAATCGAATCAACCTCCACCATAGAATTGCGGGAACATCGTTGAGGCATTGCCGTACGTATACAGATCTAGTGCATGGACATGAAATAATGGGCTAGCCCTCATCAGTGCGACGACCAGGGGCCCTTGATCTCTACCGCTAGTTTTTGTCCTTTCATCCACTCTCATTGCACTGACTGATCTCATTCCTTGCCGCCCTTTCCTCCTTGTTTGTGCGGTTGGACTGCTACTGCATGCTCTCTTGGCTGTCCGGATCACGCCGCCCCTTGCACATTGAACTCGTCCTCTGGCGCCCATCCCACGCTTACTCATTTAGCCTGCATTTTTGATACCTACATAGCTATAGCTAGTTAGTCTAGCTCTAGGACAAGACGAGTACGGAACACAAAGCATACAAATAACTGGTGGATGAAGTAAGACAGCTTTTATGAATGAAGATCTCTCAAATGTGCCCCATGGACAGCATGGCGCACGGTACACGTGCATGCCAATGGTGCACCAAAGACAATTTGCACCGTGACTGTCACAATGGATGGTGCCATTGCCGAACAAATAATGCCCTGGTCTAAGAAGCGTATTGCTGTTGCTTATTCAGCACCTTGAGCTGCTTGGCGCGATATGCGTCAAAGCTTTCCACCTGGGTGACTCTGCCACCATTCACGACCCATGCCTCGTTTGCCACAGCTGTCACAAAGAATTGGTCGTGAGAAACACATACCACAGCCCCTTGGAAACTTTGCACACTCTCCGCAAGTGCTGCCACACTTTCTAGATCCAAATTATTCGTCGGTTCGTCCAAAATTAACACATGGGGCTTGGCGTAGGATACTGCAGCCAGGGCGACACGCGATCGTTGACCACCCGACAAGGCTGATGCTGGTGTATTCTGCAAATCCAACACTTTGGTAGGACCATTTCCTCCCGCACCGGCTGTTACACCACAACTCGACAAATGACCTCGCAACTTTTGCATGTGTTCGTAGGACCCATCACCAGGGTACTGTTTGGCAATAAATTCCAATGGAGTCATTGTGAGGTCGATTTGATCGGCATGGTGTTGATTGACAACTGCAAATCGAGCATGAGGAGACCGGCGTATATCTCCTTCGCATGGCTCCAACTCGCCCATCAAAAGTTTGACCAAGGTAGATTTTCCATTTCCATTTTCTCCCAGTAACACAATTCTCGATTTGGCGGTGATTCCAAATTCACAATGCTCAAACAAGCGTGCTGGGGTGCTGTTCGGATAGCCAAAGCCAACATCCATCAATTGAACTAGAAATCCATCAATTTCACCTCCCGAATGAATCTTCATGGATAGTTCCATATCTTCCTGTAGGGCTGCCAGCTCTTCGGCATGAGCTGCATGGGCTTCCTCAAGTTTGTCAGCCTGTTTGGCTTTCATGCCCATTTTATTGATCTGTGAGGCGCTGCCACCATATTTGAAGCCATGCCCTGCATACTCTCTCAATTTATCAATCTCTTGTTGCCTGTGCTCTTGTTCCTTGGCGAATCGAACTTGTTGTTCTTTGCGTTGTTTGGCCCATTTACTGTACGTGCCGCGTGTTTGCGTCAGCCTGCGTGCGGCGCCACTGATATGAAGACAGTCCGAACAAACCTCGTCCATAAAGTGTCGGTCGTGCGACACAATAATGACCATGCGATCCTTCCAGGTCTCACTGGTGGCCAGTTCTCGTGCCAACCACATGACGGCCAAAATACTCAAATGATTGGTCGGTTCGTCCAAGAGTAACAAATCTGGCTTGGCAAAAATCGCGGCCGCCAACATGGTCCGGACCCTCCATCCCCCCGACAACTGTGCCAACGGGCGAGCCTGCAATTCGGGAGAAAATCCCAAATTTTCCAACAATTGGGTGGCGCGACGGGTGGCAGAATCACTGCCAATCTCCTCCAACCTTGACAAGACGTTGGCGTGTTGTTTGGACCCCTCGACCGCATTAAAGTCATCCGGCGGGGCATTTAACAGTGTTTCCAGACTGGCCAATTCTTCCAAGAGCAAACGCCGTTCCAAATCGGCATCGACCACACACTCGACGGGTGTTTTGCCCCGTTGCGATTCTGTCAGATTGACCTCTTGTGAGACATAGTGCACCGTGACATTGGGTGGAATGTTTCCCACACGGCGCGCCGCAAATGCTCGTAAGAGTGTGGATTTTCCCGTCCCATTGCGTCCAATCAACCCGTAGCGTCGTCCCCATCCAAACGTACAGGATGCATCTTCTAATAAGGGTTGTCCACCACCAGGGTTGGGCAATGTAAACGTAGCAGCATCCAAGGCGCCCTTGTACGCTCCGAGTGCCCGACGAGACTGAATGGAAGCCACGCGAGCTTCCTGAAGTTCTGCCTCTAGTTCCATTTTCTCTGCTTGCGCTTGTTCCAAGACGGTCAGTTTACTACTACTAGATCCACCGCTGCCACTTGCAGTTCCTCCTCCTCCTCCTTTCTTATTGGCAGCTTGTTTCTTCTTGGCAGCCCGCGCTTGCTTGGAGGACGTTGCCGTTTGGTCTTCCATGATCGTATTCACCTTGCTTTTGGCTTCTGATGACTGTGTCGTGACGTCTTGTAAGGACAGTGCCGCTATTGGCTGTTCCAGTTTTCGTGTCGTGCTATTACTACTAGTAGTAGCAGCATTGCTAGTAGCATTGAGTTCCTCCAACAACCCCTGCGCTGTCGCTTGAGCAAGTTCTTCGTCGTCACAAAAGTCGGCTCCCACCAAAAACTGGGCAATCGTTTCCGCCGTTTCTTCCGGGTCGTCAATATCCTCTTGCAGCAGACCTACCAAATAGTCAAAAATGTCATTGTCCAAACCAGGCAATAATTTGGCACAAGCCGCCGTCACTGCTGCTTCTTCGGGCATTCTATTTGTTTGACTTGACTTGACTTGACTTACTTGTAGTATGACAGTGGATGGGGCTTTTTCTTTGCTGTTACCTATTGGTATGATACAGTACAGTATCACAGATGGGTCTGTGACTTTGCTCTTGCTGTTTTTGTCAATCAATACTGCAAGGCAAGGCAAGGCGGCTCGATCATCGTCGTCAAAACATCATTGACCCCAAAAAGCTGGGGTTGAGATTCAGTCGCGGACGGAATGCCCGGGACTCTATTACTGCACGAGTACCGGTACAGACTGGATCGAACCTATTGATGCAAACGCAAGCCCATTGAAGCGACCACATTGGCAAGGTTTAGTAGAGAAAGATTTATGACTACGAAAAAGACTTACAGTCAGCAGCCTACAATGTACCAGATCGATCCACTCGATCGATCGTATCGCATCTTTGTTTCGACAATCAATAGGGGGATTAGAATAGTCTAGCTAGACATATTACCGGTGGATTATCTAATAGCTATACTCGTACCTGCATGGTAGTCCTCCTCTTTTGTTCATCCCGATAGCCATGACAGGCTCCTTTTGTTTGGTTAGTGGCAGCAGCAGCGGCAGCGATTCGAGCTTTTTCCATTCGACGGATCGATTCGATTCGATACGATTCGATTCCATTCGATTCGGTGGATCACTTGAATTCTTTCTTCTTCCGTGGAGCGACCATGCATGACACGGAGTGATCGATAGGAGCGACCATGATCGGAGCTAGCCAGAGCTGGACGGGCCATTTTGACCGTGTGAAATTATATTCGTGGTTGGGAGAGTCGAGTCCGTGGGAGTTGGACTTTGAGGGTCGACCATTCTGTACCTATACTGCATGCTTTAGAGTCGAGTCAGCCACGGTTCGGATATAGTAAAGCACAAGAGGTTTCAGAATCTATAGGCAAGTTAACATAAGTACAGTATGCCTAGGGTGTTACGTTAGCTTTCTACCGGTTTGCCATTGTCGTTCTTCTCCTTGACTTCCACTCTACGCAACCCCACTGGCTTTGCAGTCTTTCCATGCAGCAACACAAAACAAACAACGAACTCCATTCCACTTCAATAATTAATTGATCCAGATCACAGAAACTGTCACCATCATTGCCATGAACAACTGGCTCCCGATAAGGGCAACTGCAGGGCTCTTCACTTCGTCCTCCTGGGGCCCTGATGTTGCATTAGTAGTAGAAGCAGGATCATCTGCTTGTCCAACAGCTTCATCTGATTTGGCCGACACTGTGAAATTGATGGCTTGGTAGTACTCTTCTGGCGCGTCTTCCACCAATACCTGCTCTCCAACCAGGACCAGGAACGACCCTCCAAGAATCCCATCACCGGAAACATCCAAAATGACAAAGGCATAGTCACCTGCAGCTAGATCAAAATCGACTTTGTAGTCATCAGGCGTGAGGAACACGGGAGAAGCAGCGACACGCTCACCCTCCGAGTCCAGAATGGACCATGCAACATCAGACGAAAATTCATCAAAGACAATTTGTACCGTGACAGTCACAACGGTGCCATTGCCGTCAATATTGCTCGGAACAACAATTTCGCGGGCATCCAAATCTCCACAACACAAAAGATCAAAAAACTGCTGGACATACGGACACTCAGAGGCATTCTCCACACGCCCAATGATGCTCAATGCGTCCTTGCAGTAGTAGTCCAAATCAAAGGGGGAGCAAGACTCTGGCAGGACGTGGCACTCGGTCTGATGGGGAAGAGGGGCCGGCTGGCTGGGGCAACCACAGGAAAAGTACCCAATGTCTTGCCAGCGAGTGCATTCCTTTGAGTCGTCTGCAAGCACAAGCTGAGGTAAAAAGGTATGATAGTCTTGGCATGTCACTGGTGAATCATCCGAGTCGTAACCTTGTACTTGCGGGTCCGAGCCTCCATCACAGAGGCTGCAACCATTCGTGTAGGGTGTCCCCTCGCAACAGAACTGGATTCTCTTGGAGAACTCATCACACTCCTCTTGAGACTTGGCGTGGTTGGCAGATGCCACAATTTCTCCGCAAGTTTTGTAGTCAGGCTGAAACGTAAAATCCAACCTGAATGGGTCAATCTGGTCGTACGAGCAAGGCAAGGGGCATTGAAAGGTATTTGACCGATTCGGTGGCGCCTCGGGGCACCCACAAGCAAGGAAACCGAGTTCCTGCAACTGTGTGCAACGGGGCGTTCCATGGTGCAAGTTGGGGAAAAGAGGAAGACTGGCTTGTACACTCTCACAAGTTTCGGCAAATGTAGATGGCAGATCGGGGAATAGAGCATCCGTTTCATTGACCACCGTTTCATTGCCCCAACAGAGATGGCAATCAGGACCTTCATCCTCTGCAAAGCAGCCACAGAAAGGAGCATGGCTAAACGTGTTGGGTTCGTCACACATGTCATAGGCATTCGCAAAGTACTCGATCTCTCCACAGGAAGTATCCAATCTTCGTTGCACATCATTGTTCCGATAGTTCAACACAATGACCGAGCTAGAGTCTGGCAGCAAGGCCCTGTTCATGCAGATGCGGCACGGTGTATCACGAAACTTTAGATCGTAGGTCCCAACATCACCAACCACCTGCTTTATGTTGGCATCACATCCACAGTACACACCCGTCGTGGCTTGCATGGCTCCGCAGTTGTCCGAGAATCCAGCTTCCATCAGGTCAATTACATCCTGACAGGTTGTACCACCTGGCAGTACTTCCAGGGAAGGGTCAGGGATTGGGGCTCCATCCAAGCACAAGTTGCACGTGGCAGGTGGTTTTGTGGCATTGGGACATCCACACCAGTACTGGCTTCCAGCGGAGAGAAGGCCCTCACAGTTGCTGGATGGGTAGTTCTGTGCCGCAATGATCGTGTCGAAACAGAGGAACTCCTCGCTATTGCTTTCTGGATCAAGAAACTGTGGCATTTTCTTGTGAAAATCAATGGCATAGCTGGGATTATCGTTTCCGCAAAAGTTGCACCCAATGCCAGGGTTGATGGGTGGTAGGTCGGGGCAACCACAGTGTGCTACTCCGGAGATTTGGCTGATAGTACAGCTGGTGGATCCGTCGAGAAAGTCCTTGGAAAGTACTTCAGCGTCCTCGCAGGTTGTGTACCCAACGCCATCGACCCATGCTGACAGTGCAGTGCCATTTGGATTATTACGGCTGGATCCTCCATAGCAAAGGGAGCAGACAGAACTACCTTGAGCCTGACTGGAAGCCTGTAAGTAGCGACGAAGACTCCGGGGGTAGGTGATGTGTCTGCCTGCAATTGCTTGAGTAGAAGTGTCAGGAGTACTTGTTGCCTCCTCAGATTCGAGAACACTCGGTTCCACCTTGACTCGATTCTGAATGTAGTAGTCCACGAGAAGCTGCAAGAGCTCCTTCTCCTCATCCTTGTTTCGCATTTCATCATTCTTCAATGTTGTAGTCATTTCGGGGGGCAAGAGAGCTTGGAATTCCTGGCTGTCTTGTAACATTTCAATGGTGTGTCCTCCATTCTGTGCCAGCCTTTCAGCAATATACCGAGCAAAGGATTGATCAGGCTCCAAACCCAAAGCATCCATGAAACTCAGAATGAAAGTAGCGCAGTTGTTGTAGAGAACGTCATAGGAATTCTTAATACTCTCCTGGGGATTATCTTGCATGAGAGTGTTGGCCATGTGGAATGCTTGCAAGATGGCTTTCAGTGAGAACGATCCCTGAAAGTGGAAGACGTCATCCTCATCCTGGTCTCTACCAGACTGATATCCAGCTTCTTCCACAATGATGGTTCTTCCCGTTTCCCCACCATCGTGGAGCACGAGCTTTTCGTTGCAGAAACCAGCAGCGTCCTCATCATTGTTGGCATCATCTGCGGTGGTGGGCATGGGAGTGATCACATGATAGATGTGTGTGTCGGCATACGTTGCAATGGTATAGAGCTTGTCTTGGCACACGGCCTGAAAAGACTTCCAGGCGAGGGTTTCGAATACAGGGCCTACGAGTTCTCGAGAGCGTCGTACGTTGTTCGTATCAAGTCCCCCGTCCATATATCCAACTGATGCATGGGCAAATCCTACTTGTTTGAAAGAGCACCGATTTTCACGGTCGTGAACAAGTAAGCTACCACTCCAAAATAGAAACAGATTGCTCACCAACAACAAGCAGCGGTACATCATTGTCGCACACAAATTGCTAAAAGATCAGTCTCCTCCTTCACGGGCTGTTTTCGATTTGCTGTAAGTATGTACTCAGTGTGCTACTGGTGTTGTGCTTTTTAGCTCTTTGTGGAGGAGTTTGATTGCGGATTGGTACGAGTACGTCGCAATGATGCACTTCGATCTTTTTTGTGGTTCCTTTTCTAGAAATCTTAGTAATTATTAATCTGGCAACGTCTTTTAATTAAAATGATGTACTTCAGCTTCTTTGTGGCACGAGTGTGGACGCTGCGATCCTGCCAGGAAGATCCTGAAACGGGACTCAAAGTAAAGGGAAAAACTTTGTTTCACGGAAAAGGTTAGTTTCACGGAAATGTTAGTTTCACGGAAACAATAATTAGTTTCACGGAATTCGTGTAGATGATGTCAAATTTTTGATTTCCGTGAAACTGACGCATTCCTTGAATCTAGCATTTCACCAAAAGAGTCCCGTTTCGTGACGTTGCTGGGGCATTGGCAAAAATGACGCACTTCGTGTCGAATAATCGAACTACAGTCGTACTTCGATTCGATTGGATTTTATGGTCAACATTCTTTCGTTTCTCATTCAGGTCCCCATGCAGCCCCAGACAGCACTCGATCGATCGCGAAGTCCTATCTGCTATCCGTCTTTATCCAAGCCAACAAACAGACAACCAGTAGCTAGCTAGCATCAGACAGTCTTGATTTTGGTTCTGTACATGAGCAACATGAGATCAGCAAGCCATCGACAGATTCTGGCAACGCTGTTGTTGGGCCATGGGGTCTTCTTCTTATTGTTTGCCCCTACAACGGCCTTTCAACCGTCCGTGAGAAGGACGACTTTGCAAATAAGAAATGCCGCCGACAATGATAGCAATGGCGATCAAGACTTTTGGACCCAACAAAAAGAGCTCATGGCCGAAATGACGGATAAAGATGAACGCACAGGCAGACAGGAGCAACAGATGAAATACGAGGAGCGCGCCACGGCACTGGTGGGCGACACGGCCTTTTTCAGTCTCCTCATTTTCCCCATTCTTTGGCTCTGTTTCGACAATCCGCTCTTTTCACTATCGTACCTCTTGGGAGCTCTTTTTGGACTGGCATATGCCTATGGCTTGGGCAAGTACGTGGCGACTCTAGGTGGATCTATCGATGATGCCAGTACATTGCAAGGAGCTGGCGTGGGAGAGGCGAGATTTGCATTCCTCATTCTACTATTCATTTTTGTGGGTAAATTTCGAAGCTATGGATTGGTCGAGATTCCGTGCATTGCAGGATTCTTCACTTATCAGTTGGCGTCTCTTGGTCAAGGACTCAAGGAGTTCAATGACTAGCTATGATACAGCTAGGCTTTAGCTACCTCTAGAGACCAACTAAAACGAGCTAGAGCAAAATAACCAACTGGATTTTTGTCTTCCTTTAGGCTTTTCGTTGAGCCAAGTTGATGCTACCGGTACTACCGTAGCTAGAGCGCTAGATCTAGCTATTAATAACTACTCCATGAAAGTATTCGAAACAGTTGTATGGCTGCCTGGATACATGGAAGTACCGGTATACATACTGAGGCTCCGAGTCTATGCTACTCTCTGATTTCGTTTCATGTAGTCTAGTTGGAGGCTGGAGACTGCCATCTCTGGCAAAACACTCAATCGAGTGACAGTCGAGTCGAGTCTCTGGTCGGTATCGTCGATTCGATTCGATTCGATTCGATTCTATTGGATTCGAATCAATTCGACTTCCCCTGAGAGGCGGAAGGCAGACAGACCGCGCGGAGTTCTCTTTGTTGAATGTGTTCGAGACGACGATGGCTCCTCCGAAAAAGTTCTCCACCGACGAGGACGTCCCATACAGTAGCATCCGTCGTTCATCACCTCAATCACAGTCGCTCTCTCTTGTCGTACTCGTACACGTATGCTCTATGACAGTTGCAGTTGAGCCATGAACTCTCGCAGTAGTCACCCTCCGACGTTGCGTATCAAGCGGCTCTTGTCCGAGTTGACGAGCAGCCAAAAGTCAGAATCGCGAGTCGTTGCCATTGTCTCGGAGCTCATCGATTACTTCGCGCAGTCGCATCTACTCGCTTTGACGCCTAGCTATCTCTATCTGACTGGAAAGCCAAAGACAGGAGCTACACCATTGCATCTCTTCTTGGACCAAGGACGCGTGGACAATGCCGACTTCTTGGAGGAGTTTTGTCGGCGTCTTTCGTGGAACGTCTTTTGCAAGTTGCTCGCCACTGTCGACACGGACGGAAACCTTCCCATTCACTACGCGTGTCGTTACTGCTCGGCACCCGTCATTGACTTCCTCTTCCAGCAGCAACCAAATCTTTTGATGCACCAAGGCACGTCGAGCCAATTCGAGATGCCATTTGTGGAAGCCATGAAACGACTGCGCCACCAAGTGCCCGTGACGACGCTTCGAAAGATGCTACAAGTTTGCCCTGGAGCCGCTGTGGATGCCTCCATCTTGCCCTACGCCATCTACAACTCATTTCCTGTTGACCTTTTGGACGCGATTGCCAACGAATTCCCCACCACCAACTTCTTCAAGTTGGACCTCCCAGGCAATGGTTGTTTCACACCAGTTACGCTGGATCTTTCCCGAGTCCTTTGCAAGGTCCTACCGAAGGTGTCGATCTTACATCTCAAGGTGAATGATTGGGAGTCGGTGGCATTCAACCTGTTCGCACAAACACTCGGAACCCAGGCACATGACACCATTGCGGAAATTGCCTATCTTACTCTACCTTCGCGGACTGGTCGCGAAGACATATACCGATGCATTGAAAACCTCGTGGTATCACTTGCGCCCAACACAAGTCTCAAAAGAGCGCATCTTTTCACCGTTGATCAACTCTCTGTACTCCCTTGGGCGTGCATTTTGGATCGTTGTTTTCACGCGGTCGACGGTGCATATGCCAACCGTGAGAATGTGGTCATCAGAGAAGCGAGACCCCGGGAAACCTTCGGTGGATTCTGGGAGTACTCCCTTCGTCCATGTGCAACAAACCAACAGTCGTCATTGCATCTAAACTTCCAACGCTTCAACAGTCCTTGGGACAACGATACCCAGGAGGGTATTCAAATCTTCCTCAGCGCCAAAGGATTCCAATCCCTGACGTCTTTGATTCTTCACTCTGGGCGCCGGGTCGCCCCGCCACAGAAACATGACATCACTGGGCTTGCACTCGCCGCTCTACAAGAGTTGCCGCGACTACGAGAGCTACGATTGTTTGGATTTGAGATTGACTACAAACTGTTGTTCGATGCTCTCAGGGAGAACTCCCAGCTTCAAGTATTCAACACGTTCCACTACAAAAGACCCAGTGACACCAACGAGCCATACGAAGCATGCATCGAAACGTTGAAGCTCAACACAACTTTGATCGAATGTGATCCCTTTGGTAGCAGCACCGGGAGCAGGGTCCACTACTACTTGCACTTGAACCGCATGGGAAGATCCCGCGTCCGAAACAGTGACATCATCCCGACCGAAGTCTGGATTCAATTGTTGCTGGCTGTGGAGTCGGACGAATACTTATCCGCACAGGAAGAGAGAGTTCGCCAGAGTCTTTGGTGCGGTTTGATGCGCGAAAATCCAGGCCTCTGGTGTCACGGTACTGGCCGCGTTGTCCGGGAGCACATCAGCATCCTTTCAGGTCGCAGGTTGGATCCGTACAGTCGTCACACAAGAACTCTAGATTGGATGGTTCCGCCTCCTTCCGGCTTTGCGAGCCCTTTGCGTCGTCCCAAGCCTCGCCGCAGCCGACGTCTCAAGCAGAAGGAAAAGCTCCCCTAAACCAAAGAGAAAGAACCGACACCAACCCTCGCCTTTCCGAAGGTTGCAGAAAACTTCTGTTGTCGTCGAGTTGGCGGTGTCGAGATAGTCAGGCTTGGATCGTCCCGTATATTGCTGAATTGGCCCAAGCAGGCGGTGAAGAGGCCGATAGCGTGTAAACATATTGTCGTTTGGAAGCAGCGTCGGCGCCTATAAAGCTGTAGATAGTTAGCTATTTGTTCAAATCAAAGGATCTGTTTTGACGTCATACTAGTAGTAGATCTTCGAGGAGAAGGTCGCCTCCCAGCGCAGCGAAGACAACGAGTTCGCCGACTATTGGAATCATCCAGAGGCCGAAGACGAGGACGAGGAAGACGAATAAGACGAGGACGAGAGTGGGATGAATAAATACAGAGGTCGGAGCCACACCAACATTGCATGTTTTGTGTAAGTTTTAGAGTTTGACATGGTGGTGCAGTTCAAGAAGCTACGCTACGAGAGGAGCCCACATCAGCTGGTGGTTGGCAACCACGAGGTGACGAACCTTGCGGCACATCAGCCTCCGTTCGCACCTATGTTGTGCCGTGCTGTAATCGCCAGGCTGCAAGCTCGAAGAAGCCCCGAGGAAACGAACTGAACAAAATCATTCAAGCTACGTACATCGGCGTCTGCCTACTAGCTAGCTAGCTAGCTCGATTTAGATGGTCGATCGATCGAGAGATCAAAGTCTCCTGCACATCCTGATTCTTTCGATTGGATTGCACCCTGCGTCGACTCGACTTGACTCTGGCCATGCATGCCGACACGACCGTACCGCACGCACGACTATCAAGTTGCTGGATCTTCCTTCCTTCCGCACATCTATTTATTCATTGTCATCGTCATCGGTTTCGTCCTTGTTGGTCGTGAGTCGCAGTTCCTTTCCACCTCGCCCAGCATTAGCACCGTTGAAGAGGGCGAACGGTGGATCCTTTCGTTTCCGGTTGGCTTGTTGTTGCAGTAGTACTTGCGTCTGCTGCTGTGGATTTTGCTTTAGTTGTAACAAGAGCGTGGATGTCGTATCAGCAACAGATGGTCGACGGAGCAATCCCGCGACACTCGCGTGTTCTTGTTCCGTTACGGCAAATAGCGGTTTGTGACTTACCGCAGTATTGTTGTTGTCTTGCTGTTGTTGTTCCATCATCGTCATCATCGAGCTGTTCTTGTTATTGATATTGATGGATTGTCGTCGTTGATGATTCGGTTGACTCCACGACCCTGGTGATTCTCGCAACAGTCCAAAGAGTATCCCAAGTGTCACCAAGTGTTTCTGATGGTTGCCTATTTGTGGTTGTTGTTGTTGCGCTGACGACGATTGCTGCAGTAGCTCTCGTTGAGCGCGTAACAGCAATCCCAGTATCGTTTGCAACGACGTGGTTTGATCTCTGGCGACGGCCCTTCCATATTGATTGAGTAACGTGTAGAATTTGACCTGGTTGTACTCTAGTAGAATAGCTTGTCGTTCGGGCGATGGTTGTCGTGGTACGACGAATCGTACTTCTGCTTTTTGTAGCGTGACATTGGCATGTTCGAGTACGTATCCCAGTGTGAGTGGTTTATTGACTTGTGCTGGCAGTATTTGTGTAGACGGTGGTGGTGGTGGTGTATCGGCAATGGTATCATTGAGAATCAATTGTTCGAGCGTCGAGTTGGCGGTGAGTGCCTTGAGAATGGGTTGAAATTGGAGTGCGTATCCGGATACTTTCAAGTATTTGAGTTTTTGTCCGTGTGTGATCAATTGTACGATGGGTTCGGAAATGTCGGGAATGGTGGGTGTTGTTGTTGTTCGAGTAGTACTACTATTATTTCGGTTGTTGGCGTTGTTGGCGTTGTTGGCCGGTGCAGCAGCAGCATTGTTGTTGTTTCGTCCTTGCTGATTATTGGCCAGCAATTGCCACGTTGGATTTTGATTATTGTTGGGTGGTTGCTGTTGTGCTCGATTGCTGTTTTGGAATCCAAATCCAAAGGCTCGTGGCTGTTGCTGCTGTAAGAATGGGTTGTTGTTTGGGTTATTGTTTCGAGCGGCGGCAAATCCAAACCCAAAACCTCCTGTGGCAGCTGCCGGGGGTACAATGACGCCTTGAATGTCTAGATACTCCAAATTTCCGACATGCTGTAATAGATTGACAAAGGCGCGATGCGTGTGGGTGGGTGTCAGGGCCGATGTGGTAGTATTGATGTTGGTGGTGCGGTTGTTTTGGTTTTGTGTTGTGGGCCAATGAAAGGGCCGTTGCGGTTGCGGTGGCGTAGGTGGTCCCGGAGGAGGCGGTGGTTTGAGAATGAGTTTTTGCAACTGTAGTGTGTCATTCAAGCGTTTGAATTTCTGCGCAAAATAGATGAATGCATTGGGTGCCCATCGTTGTGGTGTCCACTGCAAGTGTGTCAACTGCGGCAGTACATGACAAATAGCCTTGGCAATGGGAAGAGTGACTTCGGTGAGAATGTTGGCATCGAGTTGCAAACAGGTCAAATGCTTGGGTGCGTGTTTCCAAATGCAGTCTCTGATTTCGTTGGAACAGTGATGCGCCGTAAGGACGGTAATGATGGGCGGTAAGAGCGCATTGGACGACTGCGGCGGTTTCTGCAGCATGGCTTGTGGGTAGAGTTCCACGAGCGCTTGAACGCCTTCGAGCGACGGAGAGAGTCCTCGATACTCCAGTAGCAAATGCAGTGGCAGCATTCCCGAATCGTTCGTGGCAGACACGGCTTGAGGGTACTGCTTGGCGAGTAGCGCAATGAAAGCGCCTTCTTCTTGTCGCGTCACACACGCCAAGTGTAGCGGATAGCCGTCCAGCAGGAACAGTCTCATACTGGTACTAGTAGAAGTTCCACTAGTACTGCTAGTCGACAGATCATGCTCTTGCGCCGCCTGCGGAAAACTTTCACAAAATCCTTTGAGTACGGGAAATCTGGCTCGATTGTGAATGAGAAATTTCAAGGGTGACAATTGGATTCCTTCTCGTTCGGTTTCGTACTGGAGCAACGCCCATTCGGGGTGTTTGCGACACAAATCCAACACCATGGTATTGGGCAGTTCTTCTTCGTCTGGATTCGGTGCTGTCCTATGCCGTAGTGCGCCTCGTATCATGCGACGCAGCAATGAAAAGTCGTTGCGCAGTTTCGCGTCTTCTTCGCTCGTCGCGTACTTGCTAGACAATTCGTACTTGCTTAGTTTGGTCACCTCAATGGCGGGTGTAGTAGAAGTTGTACTACTAGTACTACTCATGGCTGCTGCTGCTGCTGTACTCATAGCACTGGTAGTAGTAAGGCCGCGGTGCTGACCGCTGTTCCGCTTCATCTTGATGTTCTGGTGGATGCAAATTTTATTTGTAATCTTCTCTCTGAGCTTTCTTACTTTGGCCTTGGGTTACGGTACCCAGTCTTGCTATTGTCTTGCTATTGTATCGATAGTAGGCTGCTATTACTTTTATGATAGTAACAACAACACTGACTTCTATCTTCTATCTTGTATGTGCTGTACGAGGCCTAAAGCTACCAAGTCAAAATAAATGTTTCACTCAAGGCTTTACCAATGGCAATACCAAGCGATAGAATCTGGTCGAGCAAAATGAGATGCTGCTTCTGTCTTCTATCATTCAAGTTCATTCTCACTACTGCATGCAGGACCGAGGTCACTACTGTACTTTTTATTCATTGTTCAATAATTGCCAATGTTAATAATGTTAGACTAATGCCACTCGGGTCGCTTTTGACTTTCGCCTTAGTAAAGCTACTACTGTGCCTACCGTATGCCCTGTGCATAGTCGCAAGCTGTTCGCATTGATGCATCGCGCACAGTCATCCCAAAACCAAACACGATTACTGTTCCTTCACGCACCGTGCCTCCGCTACCGGTCCAGGTCCCGGTCCAGTGCTGGAAGGCATCCGATTAGGCCTCAACCCTAGCTCCAACTCGGATCGCTGAAAGTTGTTCCTATTCGTGCTGCGCGACTTAGCGCGAGTTTCCCGCGATTCGCGCTGCACGAATAGAACGAATAGCGCGACTTCACCGCGACTTCGCGCGACTTCCATCATCTTTCTTAGTGTAAATGCTAGTATTTTCTATTCGCGCAGCGCGACTTACCGCGAATCGCGAACGACTTTCAGATTCGCGCAGCGCGACTTACCGCGAATAGCGAACGACTTCACGCGACTTTGGAGTTCCTATTTTTAGCGAATGGCACAAGCCAACTCTATCTCTAAAATCGGCTGCCTTCCTGATCACAAATTCACTACATGTACTGTACTCGTCAATCATCACAAGAGGTCGTAAAAGCAGTCGCAATGCACTCAAGATGGCAGCTATTTACTACGGCTAGAGTGATCTGCCCATTAAGACCCACAGTAGATTAAGACTATTGTAATAAATAGAGGTATGTACGTAGGATCCTACGTAGACTCAGTACCAGAGCCTTAGAGGTGCTTCCTAAGGGGCCACGTAGGATCTTACAGGATCCTCCACGTAGGATCCTACGTAGATCAGTACCGTGGAGTCTTAATATGCAGATGAAAAGAATTCGTGTCAAAAGTGAGGATAATTTCAACTGCTCATAACTCCACCAATAAGTACACTGTGATGCTGCGAATTTAATGGCTTACTCAACAACATGTGCTCTTTCGATTCAGCTACTTAGAAGTGTAATATTCGATATCCAGCTCTGAAGAGAATATTCCGCGGAACGGTCGGTCTTAATACCCAGATCACTCTACTAAAACAATTGTCCCCAGGAATGAGCACCCATTTCGTGATATGGGGAATCAGTTTTCGTGTCACAAAAATCGGGGCAGGCCCTCTAAGTAAATCAGGGAAGTGTGAACGACCCAATCTGAATCACGAGCTCACGATTTTCATGACACAGAAATTGAATTCATCGCCTTAGGTTTTCTACAGAGGTCTACGTGAGACCAATTTCTGTGCTATGGTGGTAAAATTTCTGTGTCACAGGGACAATTATTTTAGTAGCCGTATTAATAGTAGTATTTATTTTCTTCCAGATGGACTGCCATGAAAATAAATATCCCACCACAATAAGGGAGTGATACCGACATATCTTACATAATAGTACGCTACCTGGTGGTTATTAAAAAAAATATTGTGATACATGAAGCTATCTTATCCACTAGTTATGTAGCTATGTAGCTAGATGATCCCCTCTCTATCTACCGGTATCATACTCTCTCTCTCTCTCTCACTGTCTCTCCCTCCTATCCTGCGATGGCAACGGGGTGGGTGTACCGGTAGTTAGTTAGTTGTAGCTACCAGCCACCGTACAGTATAGTACCAGGTACTGTATGGCTTGGAGATAGATTGGAGTGCAACTAAGTTTCTCCGCTCTCATGCCTATTTCGTGAGCCTTTGCTAACAAGGCTTTTCATCTCCGGGGTACTCGCCTTCAGGGCGTGGTACTCACACTGTTTTAGCATGTGAGTATGGGTACTGAGTAGTACTCACAATTCCAAAGTCAAGTGAGTATGGGTACTGGGTAATACTCACAATTCCCAGGGTCAAGTGAGTACGGGTATCATGTGAGTACAGGTACTTTGTGGGTACTATAGAGTACTCACTGAGTACTTATAAATCAATTACTTAGGGAAATTATCTAGGTTTTCTAGTTCTGGGCTGGGGGCTCATCAATCTTGTTGTAAAGGTCCACCATGGCATCAATATCACTGTCATAATCCTCCTCTTCACATCTGCTGGCAGTTAGCTTGAGGAGATCCTTGGTCCTATTCTTAGCCCATTCCTTTCTTGCATCATTGATGCATTGCTTGTAGTTCTGGATGAATGCACTGTTCTTGTAGCAAAGAAGGCGCATTTGGAATGTCATGTCAACCTTCTGTCCATTGCTGAGTTTTCCATCAAACCATGTACAACAGTGGCTTCAATCAACTGCAAATCAAGCCCAAAGTGAGAAAATGGGAAATTTATGGGGCTGCGAGTTGGCGAAATACTCACTTGGTACTCACAAATACTCACCGAGTACTCACTGGTACTCACTTCGAAGTACTCACCGAAGACTCAAAAAGTACTCAAAATCCGGAGTCATGTGAGTACGGGTACTGAGTAATACTCACATTTTCTGAGGTCGTGTGAGTATGGGTACTGAGTATACTCAGTACTCAGTACCCGTACTCACATCGAGTACACGCAGCGTGTATTTCATGTGAGTCCCACACCCTGCTCGCCTTTGCTAACAAGGCTTTTCATCTCCGAGGTACCAGTACTCTCTCCAGTCGCCATGTTGATGTGGGTCGTGTGATGAGACCTGCCCTGAGAATTATCAGCGAGGCGATCGTGCTCGAAGCCATATTGCGTTGAGAGCCTTATCGATAGCTATTAGAGGTCGTCTCGTCGTCTCCACGCTCAAAGGCACGTTCCTGGGGACAGCCTGCCAGCTTATGAAATGGAAGCTCCACAACACCAGAACCATGGACTCACCATGGCGCTACCGAACGCCTACGAAGTACCAACTAGCAGCTAGACAGTTAAAGAGCCCAAGTACTATCAATATTAGCAATACTCTCTTCCTCTACACAGATCAACTGCGGCATCGTCGGTGCCACCGGCAGATACAAGCCAAAGCGAAAATGGCTCCACAAGAAATTAAATGTTACCAATGATGATATCTCCAAACTCATCCAGAAGAATCCAGTACTTCTTAATGCTAACCTGAATGACATGGTTGACAGATTGGAATTCCTCCAGGACCAGTTGGAACTCAATTCCACCGAAGCAAAACAGAAGTTTGTTGGGAAAGCTCCAGGAATCTTGACCTTCACCAAGGACCTATTGGAGGAGAAGATTATGTGGTTCCAACCATCTTCCTTTGGCCTCACAAAAAGGGAAGCGGCCAAAGCGATCCGAAAACTACCCTCATTGCTTCGCTGTAGCATTGAGAATAACTTGGAACCTTCACTGAAATGGTTGATTGATCGATTTGGCCAAGCAGCAGCCAAAAAGATGATTATGCATCAACCTCGAATTTTGTCATCCAGCATATCAGAAAAAATTGGGCCACAGCTGGACTATCTCCAAGTCTCATTTCAACGCAATGAGACTGATCTCTTGAGTATGGTGTGTAAGCACCCAGCAATTCTGGGCTACAACCAAGCCAGCATGGATGATAAGATACAGTTTTATGCAACCTGTGTTGGATCAAGGCCCCAGGCACTTGATTTTATGAGCCGAAATCCAACTTTACTGAGTGTTAGCCTTGATCAGCGGTTGATTCCCAGATGGAACCAAGTCCTTGAATTTGACCTTGCAAAACGTGGGTTTACAGTACCCATATCAATCCTTGCAGTTTATACCAACCAATCCAAAGTGGGAGAAATACTTGGAAAAGAGAAAAGGTTCTCATAGCTTACAAGTCCAAGGTGGGGACGATTCATAGAATCGGACAGGCCGAACATGTATTCACGGTACCGATGTTGAATCTGGCATGTTATCCACCAGCCCAATGAGAAACTTATTTTGATCGAAGGAGGAGGCCCATACATGGAAGGAAGGCAGGCATGTTTTCTTGTTTGCAGGGAGAGCAAGAAAGACAGAGTCCACGGTGAAATTGATTTGATAGAAGCTTTCTTCAGTCCTTTGACTGGACATTTTCAAATAATGAAAATCTTTTTTGGCTCCATGGTTGCGTAGATGTCTTGTGCTATGCTTGCTCCTTCCTCTATACTACTTCATCGCTTCCAGTTGATTTGCTTTGTGACTGTCCGTTTCCGCTCCCGTGCGGTATGTATATATAGATACATACCGCCGCCATCTCTGCGGCAGGTTTGAGATTGACTTGGCATGCATGTTGGCATCCCAGCAACCGCCAATGCAGTCATCACATTGCAAGTTCTCGAGACGACGTACGGCTACAGTCTACCAGTGGTATAGATATTATGATCATTGTCTTGACCTGGGATTAGATATTTACAATAGCAGTAAGACGGTGCGAAAAAGCACGTTTGTACATGTTTGTTTGTACATCACGGAGTTTCCATGGTGTGGCACAGGCAAGTATTGGCAGTGATATATGTACATTGCTGCCTGTGACTAGCTGGATTTTCCTTCGGGTTGATTGTATACATTTTCTTCGTTAGTGCTGTCGGAAGAGTTTTCTTGGAGGTTGCTCAAGCTTCGTTCCTTTTCTTCTTCCCTGCTCTCTGTTGCTGTTGTGGAAGTGTTATTAATGTTGGTGCCAGAGATCGCGGACTGTTGCGCAATCCCGCCTACAAGTTGTCCGTTGTTATTCGTGCTGTCCATGCGCTGCTGGGAGTTGAGATACTGAATTAGAGCAGCATTTTGTTGCGCTTGATGAAAGGGCAAGAACATTTGGGCGTTGTTGGCGGGCGTGGTGTTGTTGGTCGGTAGCACGGGAATGGTAAGCTGTTGCGATTGTTGCAACTGAGGATGCATGGCGAGGGCAAGTTGTTGGGCCGGCTGTAGCATGACCTGTTGCTGCTGTTGCTGCTGCTGGGGCGCTTGAGCTTGCTGCTGCTGTGCTGGTTGGACCATATTGATGACAGATTGCAGAAGCAAGTTTTGGGCCATGTTTTGCTGTGGTTGCTGCTGCTGCTGCTGCTGCTGCTGCAATTGGGCAAGATTTAGTTGCTGTTGGATTTGCTGCTGTTGCTGCAAGAGCTGCTGGCCTTGCATAGTACGAAGAACTTGATCGGCAAAGAGTGGATTCGTGAGCAGACTCAGACTCTGAGCGACTCCTTGCTGGACGGCTGCCTGAGCCAAGGCGGCGGCTGGTGGTGGCTGCACTTGTGGTACTGGTATGGACGGAGGTGCAGGTACGGCAGCGGCAGGAGGAGCTGGCTGAGGCGATCCGGGCAGTGAGAAGGCCCCTTCCCGTTGCTGTCGGTTGAACTCTTCCATCTCCATGGCTTGCTGGCCGCTATAGGAAAGCATCTTCATCTGTCTGGTGAGCTCGGGAGAGTCCTTTTTGAAGAGAGGATGATGAAAAGAGTAAACAGTCTTGGGAAGCGTGGCATAGAAGATCCTCCTAAATCCCCATCGATTGAGACTTCGGATGAAGGACTTGAGCTTGGTTCCTTCAAAGTGTTTGTCGAGGAAATTGGATTGCATGGTGGTAGAGTCAAAGGCAAAGCCGTCCCCGCCCGGTTGCCACCAGAGTACGTCCTGTTCAACCTCATTGTTCAGGTATTCAATGAGTTTGTCAGGAAGTCGTATTCGGGGCCCTCCCTTGCTTGGTATGGAATCCTGTGGCATCATGGCCGCTGCTGTAATGGCTGCGGGTACGTGTGTACTAGCAGTGGCAGAAGCAGCCGGCTTCCTGGCGGAAGCCGCAGCGGCCACTGGTGGTGAGGAAGCAGACGGCAGACTTGGCGCCCCTGCCCTAGTAAGGCCGCCGTCGGCAGTGGCACTGCTTTCAGCCCCTACTGGACCAGCGGGTGGCATCTTGAGGGCATCAGGAGAAGATGGTGCCTGGGCCTGAGCCTGAGCCTGAGGAGCCTGAGCTGGGGGAGCTTCTGAGTCACTGTCGCCTTGTTTTTGCCTCTTCAGTGATGGGCGCGGAGCTATTAGGCACGATCATGCGGGGGAATCAGGAGTGAGCCACAGCTTAAGACCAGCAATCCCCACCAAGCCAAGGCTACCGTGACTACCGGTATAGCTATAGCGCTATAGCTAGGAGCTGACTGCTCATGACTTACCTTGAGCGGTCTCTCCCACTTCGTCGCTTCCTTTGGATGATGGACTCCCTTCTCCTCGCTTCATCTAGCTAGCTTTCTTCTTTCTTCTTTCTTCTTGAAAACTCGATTGCCCTTCAACCCAATGACGGAATGCAATAGTGAGCAATTAAGAGATCCACTTGGACTGCTCCTTGTTTCGGTTGAAGCTATGTTGTAAACAAGTGGTTCTGAGGGACAGTTGATGGTGGGGAGGTAAAAAACCATCCATCCAATGGCGAAACCACTTGTTGCCCCTCTTCTTTGTTTCTCTCTCTCTGTCTCTTACCGTACCTGGTACTTTGCCACTATAGTACGTCGAGGGTGGCGCGGTTGCCACGTAAACTGTAGTGGCTCTCCGTTTGAGTCAATTTGTGAGCACTGACTGGGCTTTGCACCACTCAGTCTTGACTGCTACATTGGCTTGTAGCGTTGGAGTTTCGGGGTACCAATACCTCTGCGACAAACTTAGCCTCAACTTCAATCCACCGACTGTTGCATCATCACACAACCAGCACTTTAGCCCAGCAGCTGGAACCTTCGGTTGAAGTATGAAGTTACAGATAGCTTTTTCGTTTCTGTTCAATGAGTTAGACAGTTCACTTCTGGGTGGACTGGCTTCTTAAGCACAACAGCTGAGAGCATCGGCGATGTCGACGACACTCAACAACCAACAACCACTTTCGAAATAATGCAGGCCCACACAGGCCTTATGATAGCTCAATGATGACAAGCTTGTCATACTCTACTGCAATGGTGCTCTAAATAGAAAGGGCCATTGGATCTTGATGGCCATTAGCTGGCTAGACGCTGGCTATTCTAAAGAAAAGAACCTGCTCTGCGTCGAGTGTGGGGTGACAAGCTGGAAGATCTCTGGAAGACATATTGTGCAGACCCGAATCGGCAGCTTCAGGCCCAAGCTCCCGAGGTAACGGCATTGGAATTCGCCCGTGAAACCACACGTCACAATTTGCTGGAAAAGTAAGTACTTGCTACCAGCTAGTCCTAGCTAGTAGTGTTGCAGGTTCAACTGCAATCACAAGCTGGAAGCAAGCTGGAACCGTTGCTGAGTATCATGCCTTCTTTTTTGTGGATGACGGAGCCAACCAAACACCTACCAAACCACCAAACCCATAAAACGAAGCACGCGAGGATTATTACAGACTGTAAACTTGAGTAAACTTGAAAAAGAAGCTCGACCATGGGCTGTTCAGTCAGCCCGAATTGCTGTTGAGGTGTTGAGGTGGCAACATGCTGCGGCGGCATTGCAAGTTCAAGCGAAGTGCAAGCTGGCTGTCTCGTCCTCATTGGAACCCATGTTTGCTTCAACCCCAACGTGGATACTACAGAGTACTAGTATACTGTAGAAGCTTCCTGTCTTGCTTGGCTTCTGCCGCACTACATGTAGCATGTCTTCTGGCTACCAGGAGAGAGCACTCGTCTTCAATATCGCTCCCACGGGCGGGTTACTTGAAGGGAAGAGGAGGCGCGAGGATGAAGTTCTTCGGACTACTAGTATCTATGGTACTTCACCTCTGACGCGGGCGTTGGTTTCATCAAGATCAACGCAAATCCTTGGTAGATGCATCATGGCTGGACTAGCTAGAGAGGTGAGCAGGCTATTAATTAATACCTAGCTAGATGACTTCTTCTCCTCTCTCAGGCTCAAAGATGGGAACGCTACGGGCGCCAGCCAGTACAACACATGTCACCACTATGCGAAGGAGCGATTTAGCGGACCCGACCTCATTGCTACTGATGTTCATTCACGCTGCAGAGCACCCTTCACAATAGTTTCTTCCTCTATCGTGTTGCCTCTCCTTCCGATGTCCTTTGTTTTTCAAAGTCGACCTCATCTGTTTTGCTTGCGTGCGAAGCCAGCCATCTTCTCAGGTGGCTGAGAACGACTTTGATATCTTTTGTTGAATGATATCGAATGAATCATGTTGTGTAGCAGGCGTTTGGGCTCATACTAGCTAGCTCGTACCGACAATTACCAGCGTGTCGCTCTGTCAATCAGGATGAATGATGACAGGCATCTTGGGTCAATTCATTGCTTCAGTTCGTTGCTTGCATACTTCTCAACCCTGCATTATTGTCAAGTCGGAGTGGCTGGTTCGTGCTGATTGTGCAAATTGGTTTGAATCCATTTCATCCAGTACTGGTCTGTGGAATGGAATTTCCGGGCGAAGAGATGGCCTTGCTGCTTGCCATGGATGAGTGCCTTTTCAATTTCGTTGGGTGTCCTCAATTCGACGGGTCCCTCCGGGAATACAGACTTGTCATCCATTCGCAGACAGTGTGTTGGAGCTGATGACGAGGCTGCTGGATCGACCAGGTAGCTATTCCCCATTCCCATGCCACAGGGCCATGCTTGCCACATGATTCCAGGCAGTGGCACTTCTCCCTGACTTCTTCCAATGACATGTAGAGCAGCCCCCCAACTCGATTCTTCCACACAACACTGCCCGGCCAGTTTGAAACGCGCCATATAGTCCTTGACGGTTGCCGAGCGCGTGATCTTTTGAATGGCATTGCGGTCATAGGCAGCCGTGTTTCCCGAAGTGGTCTTTCTTCGGCAGGTTTGCTTGAGTCCCTTGGGAGCAAACAGTGCCGCGGTTAGTGGCATTGTCGTCTGGTTGTTGCTGTGGTGGTCTTCCATTATTTCGGATAGGACATTGTGAATATCGTAAATATCCGCCACTCGTCGTTTCTGTTGTCCTCCTCGCGTATAATAGAGTCCCACCGATGCCGCTCGTCGACGGCAGAGTCGGGGATCTCCTCCCTGCAGCAGTCCCAGTCGGACTCGTTTTGGAGCCTTGTACAGGTAGCGTGCCAGTCCCTCGGCCGAGTAGAGTGGATACGATGCGGCACTGAGTGCCAATAGGTAATCGTAGTGAAAATCATCGTGCACGTGTGCTGCCTCTTCCAGCAACTGCATAATGGCAAAGTTGATTTGGGAAAGACTGTCACCGGGATAAATGACGGTTCCAAATTGCAGTACCACCAAATTGGAGTATATCTTGGTGAGACTCTGGACCTGAGCCACGTATGAAGGGCCGGTTTGTCGTTCTAGATGGACAATGAGCCAATGGTGTGGCAAGTGTATGGCATGTATCAGTGCTTGGAGCTGTGGGAAATCTTCAAAGGCAGAAATGACAAAGACCAAGGTGGCCGCGCCTTCCGTCTCTTTGTTTGGTGCTTTCGCAATGATACTTGCAAGGTTGTCTGATGTCATTGTCCTTGCTATGCTTGGATGCTGATATATGGCAAAGTCACACGCCCCCTTCACACTTCTCGCCAAGAGTTCAATAATCTGAATGGTCAATTCTTCCACGAGATCTTCCAGTGGGACATTCAATTTTTGCGCCGTACGATGGACGCCATCGCAGCACTTTGTACTGTCATGGGTCACATGCGCCAGCAGCTTGTCTCGAAATGTGGGATAGTAGGTAGAAAACAGAGGCGATTGGACCAGCCTGGTCGCATTGCAATGGCGTAGAGACCCCACATCGCTCTGCAGAGAAGTCAGGCCAAAATGACGTTTCCACTGATCCTTATCTTCATTGATACCGGTACTCTCTTGAGTGGACGAGCCAGAGGCAGATCCGTGTTTTACTGGTACAGGTACTGCTGGTACCGCTTGTGGTATCACAGAGAAATGAGTGGCACGATAAAGTATCAACGCAGACGCAGACCCCACCAGCACAAGGCAGCGAATTCTAAGTCGATTCAGACTCAGACTCGTCACACCAATCATCACAAGAACATACTCACACACACAGCAAGCATAGATGCTGCGATCAATGGCATCAGCTAACTAGATACATGTACTACCGTAGATAGCGAGATAGCAAAGGATATGTATGTTTTGAATCTGAACCCCTGTTCTTTGGATCTTCGGATCTTCTGCTTTTCTTTGGTTGCAAGCCAGCAGCGCCGGGTTAGCATTCGATTCTTGCGGGAACTTCGTCCTCTTAAAATTTCCTTCCCTTCATATTTTTGGCAGGAGAGGATTACTGCAGTGGATTCATTCGCTAGCTAGCTAGCTAGCTAGCTATAAATTAATGAAACCAGCAATGGACCATACGAGGAACACTGACTCAGTGCCACGCACGGTACAAATGCAGGACCTGGGGCATGATACTAGAATGTGCCCTGGAGATACTCCAGCTAGCTTTGGCTTCAGTTTGTTGGGTATGCTGTATGCCAGAGTGGTCCCAACCAAATGTTTCTTGATAGTATTGCATGTTTCCCTCCAGAGTCATGTCGTTCCTGGCTGCTCCAGGGTCCAGATGCAGAGCAGCAACCAAAAAGCAACCTTGGCTGGCAAGGATAGCCCAACAACGCTCGCCCTCGTCTTGCTCGGACTGTGCACCGCTGGTGCTCTCTCACTCTTGGAGTTTCGGCACACCCTTCTTCGTCTTTAGTAGTGATTTTACGCTGCCGGGGTTAGCTACCGTATTCTCGGCCGGGGTTTTCCTGGGACTGTCGTTGCAAGAACAGGTATGAGCGAGTGTATCATGTAGCTCTGGTGATGTCAAAACGATGGCCTCTTTTCGGTTCATCGAGAAGCAGCAGCATGCCGTTTGTCCAGAATCCATCCTACTATCTAGCTAGCTAGTAGACAAAAGAAGACTCAGAGAGAAGAAGAAATACTACATGTACTCGAGTAGCTAGCTATCTAGCTAGTAAGACCACGGAACTTGGGTGGTTGTCAAAGCTACATGGATCTTTGCCTCTGGCCATGGTAGACTCGACTCTACCTACCGTATGTAACTAACGAGTTCTACGGTACTCGTACAGTCATACAACATTCATGTACCGGTACTAAAGCTGTATTTAAAATATTATTATATTTAGCAAGAGAGCATCTTTAAAATCCATAGTTCCCTCAACACGAAAATGACCTGTGGTAGCGATTTATGACTATCCAGTTACCAGATTACTAAAATCAACCACAACAACCAAGTAGCAACACACACAACACTATAGCAACCTCTTTATCAACACCATCAGCCTTTTTCGGCTTATCAGGCGTGGTAGCTTATCAGCTCAACGACGCGACGTACCGTTCGAACGTTGCGATCGTTGCGAGCGACAAGAAGAAGACAAGAAGAAGAGCTACCGTTCGAAGAGCTACCGTTCGTTCGCTCGAACGCCATTGTCGAAGAAGATACGTTCCCGTTCGAACGACGACGAGAAGAAGACGACGCGACGCTACTGTCGTTCGCTTGTCGAGAAGAAAGAAGACAAACGGTTCATTCGTTCGTTCATTCGAAGCAGCGCCATTGTCGCCGATTCGAAGCTACTGTTCGAACAGAAGAAGACGACGCTACGACGGTCACGAAGCGACGGTCATATCCCATTGTCGTTCGCTTATCGTGATCAAAAGAGAGAAGAAGAAGAGATCCTCATTGCCAGTGTAATCGGCAGAGGAACAAGAGAAGAAGAGAAGACCTCTAATCGGCAGAGGAACAAGAGAAGAAGAGAAGACCTCTAATCGGCAGAGGAACAAGAGAAGAAGAGAAGACCTCCAAGCGGCATAGCAACAGAAGACCTCTCAAGAAGAAGGGGCTCTCTCAAGTGGAGCGAGAGATAGAGACTTCCAAGTGGGAAGCAGAGGTTTGGACTT